CAACCATCTCTCAGATGTCACATTCGTCACCTATCAACGTGAATGATAAGTGAGTGCAGGAGTGATGGCAAGTGGACGGTCATTTCATTAAAAGGAGGTGAGAGCGAGAATTGCCATGGGCTTTCCAAATTGTACCATGTCCGTTTACTACTGGCTACTTTTGTTTTATTTTATTTCATTTTATTTTTTTCAAAAGATATGATCACTTATCAGCAACGTATGAATGTATCACCTTATATGTCTTGCCATTTTTTCTTCACAACCCCAAACGATATTCAATTTAAATGCATAATAGAAGGTCTATTAACTTTAATTAACAGTTTTTTTAGACAGAATTTGTGAGTTACGAATCAATGTTTTAACGAAGAAGACATCATTAAATTAAAGACATTTTAAAATGATTTTTCCGTGTGGAAGTTTACAACCCAACACCTGTTATGTGTCTAATATGTAAATTGTACAGAAGGATCGCGTAAAGAGAAGCTATTCACTTTATGGCTCCTGAATTTGTATGTATATGTTTGGTTTCTAGTACCGGAATTTTAAAATTTGTTTATGAATTCAACAATTGACTAACAAAGCAGAACTTTTGGTCAAGGAAACCTAACTCCAACAGGCTTTAAAATTTCAACTACTACGAACTGATGACACTGTCTACAATGTCTACCCAAATTATTTTTCATGATCATTTGATGACTGTTTGAACAACCTGGTCAATTTCCCACTGAATCTGATCAGTATTTACACGAAAGCTTTACTTAGGTTTTCAGTCTGTAGTCTTATTGTTAAGGAAAATATTGTTTTCATTTATACGGAATTTTTTTCAAACGACTTTGTTTGGCTTAGACGAATTCAGTTTTTCGAATACCATTAAAACTACACGGAAAAACTATACGGAAGATAAGACAGGATTGTGAACAGAGTCATGATAATTAGAACGCGCTGCTATACTCTGAATTTATAATTTTATAATTATCATAATTTATAACTGGTAGGAACTGCATTATAAGTTTCTAAATCTGATAATACACGACTGCGAGTATCTTGAACGGCCTAAAAAACTCTGATATTGATCAACTCATTCTTGCAGATTTGGGGTTATTTTGGTCTTACTAAAAAAATTGACGTAAAGTTTACCGTGTCTTTATCGGCTCATTAAACATTATTTTCTTTTGTTTTTCTTTATGAAATATTATGAGTTTTGAATTATTGATAAGGATTGCATAATACAATAGCCTTTAAAGAAATAATAACGAATCGCCAATAAAAAATATATAGCTGACTCTAATTTGCTCATAATTTCGTTCTTTCTTTCTCACTAAATTAACAAATTTCGACCTCAAAAAAAGGTTTGAAGAAATTGAAAAGTCCCAAAGTTTTATTTCAAAGAAATACGACACCGTGATATCGGCGATCAAGAACGTAAAAGAACACAACGAAGGCGTGAAAAGCAAAATTAAAGAGATCAAGGAAGACATAAACAAGCTCAGCAACGATGGTTTTTATGTCGAGGTCAAGTCGGATGAGCTCGAGCAGTACGCGCGAAGAGACTGTTTCGAAATAACTATCGTACCTAATGACAGCCCAGCGTTGCTGGTGAAGGAAATGTCCGAAATTATGGGAGTAAACCTTAACGAAAACGGTATATCGATCGCTCATCGTTTACCGCCAACGACGAAAGTGAAAGATCGACTAATTGTCAAGTTCACTCGAAGAGAGAAAAGAGACGAAATTTACAGCAAGTAGAAAAACTTAAAATCTAAGCGGACTAAAGATCTCCCTTCTGGGGTCTGCGAGCCGGAATCTGCGGTTGTAAGTCATAAAGCACAAATTCATGTCAATGAAAGCTTAACGCCATACAGAAAACGACTACTGGGCAGAATCTTACAATTACCACAACTACAAGTTTATTTGGACGGCTAACGGTAAAATAATGCTGAAGAAAACGGAAAGCTCTACTACGAAATGTTTCGTAACCCATGAGGAATTCGAAGAGTTTCTTGACGAGCTCAATTAATTAGCTATCAGTTTAATGATATTACGGAGGTAAAAATGGCTGATTACCAGGAAAACGTAAGTAGTTGTTTACCATTTTATAACTGATAGAGAATTTCATGCTATGGTTGGCAGCTGGCCGGATAGGCGTCATGATCTTGACTTTTACGATCTCCTCCCAAATCCAAATAAATTCGACGAGTGCGACCCAGATTTAATGTTAAATACCCCCTCTCAGAATATTATTCAGTCCGTAGCTTTAATAAAATGCTCGTAAATTCAGACGCAAAATCTTTTTCAATTCTTCACTGTAATATTAGAAGTTCATCTAAAAACCTAAATCTATTAGAAGAACTATTATGCTCCCTTGACTCCAAGCTGGATATACTTGGAATTACAGAAACTAAATTAGGTGAGAAGTCTATTTCTAATGTAAATATCAAAGGCTATAACTTTTTTCACACGAACTCGCCAACAAACGCAGGTGGAGCTGCTTTATATATAGCTGATAATCTTAAAGCTGTACCTAGACCTGGTATTAAATTTGACGTAGCACTCGTTGAATCCTGCTGGGCAGAAATTGATGCTGGTGAAGGTAAGAAGATCACAATAGGTTGTATCTATAAGCATCCCACTTGTAATTTAGAACAATTTCGCAACCAACTATATGATATAATCAAAACAATTAATCCCAATAGACACGAAATTTACATCTTTGGAGATATGAATATTTTTAAATTTCCTGAAATTCAATGAACATGCTCAAACTGAAGAGTTTTTAGATATGCTTTATGCCAATAACATCTTGCCGATCATTACTAAACCTACGAGGCTTACTGATCACACAGCAACACTAATTGACCATATATGGCCTAGCAAGGTTTAGTGTAGTGGCATCACAGACCTGGGAAGCTACACCTACGAAAATTAAGTGTCTCCCCTTGAACAGTTTTAAAAAAGAATATAAACTCTTTTTACTTGACAGTCAGGCATCTTGAACAACTCTTATCTAAAACAATAGGTTTTTCGTCACTCACCTATATTTCGACCGTGTTAAACGGCCTTCATCAGGGTGAATGGCCGTTACAAGCATCACACACCATTACTACATGATAACGAATAAATTTGAAAACTTGCACGCGCTACAAAGGAAGATAAACACACGCGCGCGCTACTATTATTTTTACATTTCCAACGGTACTAACCAAAAGAATTTCTTAAACAATCAAGACACCCTTACTTGGTAAACACGAATTAGTTATACTCATTAACGCAATGGTTTTTAAAGCAGCCATATGTAAAGGGGGCATTAGATAATTGGGTGATAAAGGGATAATCGATGGTACTGCACATTTCATAAGTAGGTTGAGCATGATCGTCCGGGTGAACGTAGTCCTGAATAGGACCGTTGTTGTTGACAGTGACTGACGTTTCGACAACCCGTGCGGTAGTCATCTTCAGAGTCAAAGTGAGTCGTATCACGTCAGTTGATGGTATCAAACTCTGGTTATTGACCTGTTTGGTCAACAGGCCACTTCCGAGTTCCAAAAACCCTCACTTTGAAAATGAGGCCAAGCGCACAACCTTTCTTGTGGAAATGAGTTTTACTTGCCTGACAATGAAAAATCATTCCCATATCAAAGGCTGGGCACGTAAGCCTCGTTTTGATACAGAGGTCCGGGGGAACGTTATTAAAGGCCCATGTTCACCCTAGATGCATTGCGCGCCCTGTACTCCAGAAAAAACATTTCGCGTAGTTGAAAATCGCTGCCTTTAGTGTGTAAAGTCAATCTTTGTTAATCTTCTACAGTTCGCTAAATCTGGTTTAAAAGAAAGTCTCAACAAGTTCTTTTGGTATTTTTCTTTACATCTTTTTGGATATTTTGGAATGGTATCGAGCCTTTTTGTTTCTGTGAGTGTTTGTTTCACTGCAGCACTTTCGATGGCGGCTCCATCGAAACGAACGGTTGGAAGCATGGTTGGAAGACCGCGTCGACGGGGGTCGCCGAAGTACATTCGTCTCCGTGAATCCGCTTTTTTAATCCCTGGAGAGATGGGAAAGAAACTCTTGGCTGTAAATTCTACAGACAGCGTGTTTGCCGAGTTCCTTCTACATCGAATGTTCAATTGTAAACAAAGGTCCCGTTGAAATCAGTTGAAAGCAAAACAAGCGAGTCAATCTAACATGAACAATGCTTTATTTAATTTAACCTATGAAGCGAGTGATATCCTTAACGTAAACTTATCGTCTGGCGTATCACGATTAAAGCCGGCTCTAAAGTAGCGAGAACTCTTATTAGCAAACCAATCCTTAGCAAAACCTAAAGAAAGTGTAATACAGCGATTACAGCGATTACAGACTGTATGCAGTGCTGATTCGGCGCTTTGCAAACACAACTTCTCGCTTATTCTTTCGAGAACACATACCTAAAAGCTTCCTAAGAATTAACACAAAATAATAGATTGAGGAATCAAAACATTTCACAGTCGAATCGGGCTTCAGGAAAACCTCACCTGGTGCTTAGACGTTTCGTAATTTATGACCTTCATTGTGTTCATCGGACTCAACAAGGCATCCATATGCATTCACTACCAGTTTAAATTTTGAGGTGCTTTCTGCGGTGACATTTAACGAAGTCGGCGATATATCTTCCTCCATTTGGAAAAGAATTAAAAGTCTTACTGGCTTCTTTGATACTGTCTCTCTAAGCTTCGGTCAAGCGTGAAAAAAGCTGCAATTGTAGTCTCCCTCGCAGTCGTTTTTAGTATCGTCGCGCAACGCTCCTCAAAGTGGAAGCCAATCAAAACACTGCATTTGACAAAAGAATCGTTTCAAAACAAAAACACAAGCGCGCAAAGCCGTTTGGGTGAACATGGGCCTTTAACAGCCAATTATTAACAGGCAATCGGAAAAGAATCTTTCTGATATAACAAACTGATCATGACGGTTGATATTAATACTGAATTATCCTGTATATTGTTCTTTTACCGTTGATTAGGACAGAATGTTCCGGCAAAGATGCAGGGTTTTGAAAGTTTTGCTGATTGTTGTGTTCGTTGCAACCGTGTTTCTCCACTTTATCTTTTTGCCAACTGTTAATGGTGGATACAATGACGAATGCTTTCTACCTGAGGGGAAACGACACATTTTAAGGACTATGGTGCAAAACATTTCGATGGCATTTGATAAGTTTGGTGTTCAATACTGGCTGGATTATGGTACGTTAAGTTTTCTTTTCAAATTTCTTAGCTATAAGATATATGAGGGGAAGGCTAGGAAAAGGGAAACAAGTGAGAGTTTTGGGGAAAAAAAGTAGGTGGCAGCGGGAAGGGCTCTAAATAAGACGGTTTGGTGAAAATAAACAATTTACTACTGAACTTTCTTGATATGAAGAATAACTAACTAACGAAGGAACGAACGAAGTAAGTAAGTAACTGTGTGACAAAATATTGAATGAACAAATAAATAAATAAATAAATAAATTAGTAAATAAATAAATAAACAGCCCGGCTTAATTTTTCATTTTACATCAACACACCGTTAGGTAATTATTCCAAAAACGACAACGGTCAGTGATCGATCACAACGTGCCTTACAAAAGTTGTTTTTCGTTTTCTATTAATTTTAGCTTTTTATAAAAGGCTTTATTTTCACATCTTGGCGCTTATCACATGGTTGATATTCTTCCTCATAATTACGTTGCAGTTATTTCATTTCTATTACGGGTTCCGCCAACTCTCAAGCCTTCCTAATAGGTCATCAGTTGCGAGATCCAAAAACTCTCACTTTCAAAGTGAGGCTAAGTGCAAGACCTTTCTAGCGAATATGAGTTTTATTTACATGAGAACTGACAAAATCGGTATCATTTTCACATCAATGGCTTCACACTTTACCTCATTTTGAAACGGAGGCTTGGGGCAACTCCAAATTAGGCTTATAATTGCTATTATTATTCATTCAAAATATTTGCCCAATTCTGATTGGCTAAAAGCACACGCATAATTTACCATAACCAGTTATTGATGACCAAACTTGGAAGAATTTTGTGTTTAACCAGGAAATGACGTCAAAAATGTAGCGTTCTTGCAGGTTAAGGCACCGTTAACCGAGAAGACCTGGGGACGAGTTTGAGTTGTTTTGGTTGTGAAAACAAAAAATGTCGGACATTTCACTCGTTTCAAAAGTAAGAACTAGACGAAATCATAGCTAAAAACATGGCAAGAACAGCAAGAACACAACTCGAAGGGCGACATCTGCTATTTGGAGAATATTTGCGGAGCTGAAAAACCCTAAACGTGCACTATCGAAGGTGAACTTAACATCGATGGAGATAAGCATGTTTTAGCTTATTTTAAAACTAGAAATTATTTTGAATTAATAATAAAACAATTATTGAATTCAGCTTTCGTATCATTTGAAGAATTATGGAGATCTCGGAGGGTGTTATCTGCCTCGGCCTACGGCCTCGACGGATAACACCCTCCTCCGATCTCCACTGGGATTCTTCATAAGATACTCAGCCTCTTTCATTAATTGTTAAATAATTGAGATATTCTTGTTTTTATAGGGACACTTCTTGGCGCTTATCGCCTGGGAGACATTCTTCCTCATGATCACGACGCAGATATTTCATTTCTTCTTAGTTCAGATACATCAAAGGCCTTTCAGGAATTAGCCAAGTCTGGTATGGCAGCGGCGGGAATAAAAGCGAGATTTAAAAACGTGGTTGTGGATTTTGTGCCTTGGAGAGCTGAATACACAAAGACTCGAGGTATAGGGAAAGTTGTACTGCACAAAGCATATCCGGTTGAGGTGCTGGACAAAGATAATATTGTGACGAGATATCATCATAAACTGCAATCTTTTCCACAGTCATGGGTTGTGCCACCCAAGCGAGTAAACTTCCACGGTGTCAGTGTGTCAATTCCTAATTCGCCCGCTCGCTTATTAGCACATAGATATCCTTACACCTTTGGTGCGTTTGGAGTGCAGTTTCCTTATAAGTGGAAATGTTGGGTGCCCTGTTCGCTAAGAAAGGAAAATACATGTTGAATTCAGAGTTTCTTTTTTTGATGCCCTGTTTGACTGATATGACACTTGTCTCTGCTGATTTACTTGCGGTGGCAGCGTTGGCATTGAAAGATAAGAGAGAAGATGGGTAGACGGTGCGCATCTTGATCCTACTTTTCTCGTAAATATATAATAAACTTTAAAGACAAAAGCCGTTACGAGGCAGTGTCAAACATGACACGCGGGTGCTACTGGCACCAAATTATTGCCGACTTCAATTAATTCCTCTCGCTGTCTGTTATTGGCTCTTATTGACTTTGAGGTTTTAAAAAGTCGCGATTGGAACTGGCTACGATATAACTTAACTTAGGATCTTCCTTGGAGTTTCCTTCAATCCCACCAAGTACAATATCATCACTCAGATTAGAAGCATTAGCTTTTGATGACAAATCATTGTGACTGCCGTCCTTTGAATAAGCCGCCCACTAACAATAGAGTAGAGAATGATGTTTATTCTATAAAAACTAAGTTTACTGATTTAGCAAAGCCATAGCCTGAGTAAACAGTCGACATTTGGCGACACTACCACTGGTTTCCCCGCCAAACTCAGGACGTCTGACAAACGAGCGCAGAAATTCTATACTGATGACCCGTCACTAACCAGATCTAGGTAGTGCTTCTGATTGGTTGAATCAGATTTTCCACGGGGCACGGCCAATCAGAAGCACTACCCAGATCTGGGTAGTGACGCGTCATCAGTATGGAATTTCTGTGCTCGTTTGTCAGACGTCATTTAGCTAGGAAATTAAACCAGTGGTGGTGTCGCCAAATGTCGGCTGTTTTCTCAGGCTAGCAAAATAATGGACTAAGGCGTCTTCCCACGCAATCTCGTTCAAGGCATTTCGGTGGCGTATCTGAGTTAAAAAAACTCGCTCGCACCATGTGACCCGAAACGCATTAGCCGCGCGGAATAACGAGGCCTATGGAGACAGTCGTTCTGTACAGTCTTCGCTATCATTAAAAACACTGCACTGAACACGGGAATTTTGTTATGGGCTTTTTTCACACTAGAGCTAGAAGTGGATTATCCGTCTGAGACTAGCCTGTGTACAGACGCCTCCTCCCCCCACAGACACCCCTTCTCCCATTTTTTCTTAGGGGAGGGGGCAGCTGTACACAGGCTATCAGAAACGGGTAATCCATATCAAAACTGTCGGTCAAAACTGACAGATAAAGTCAGGTGGATTGTTCATTCAAAATTAAAACCATTCCATTTTCAAACTAAGACGTAGTACCTATCTGACGTGAATTATCAAACAGATAACCCGTCTCACGCGAATCATCCGTCTCTAGGATGAAAACCGCCATTTCTGTTATAAATGAATGTCACGCCCTCGGTCTTGAGGTTGGCATTCGCGTTTTAAATTGACTATTGGCATTTCTTTGCGTAAAATAATATAAAAGTGGAATACTTTATAAAAAGTATGATCTATCAAATGTTAAATTTTTTCAAAAGAATAGGATTTTCATCTGGAGATGATCCTAAGACCTTTATTTTGCTTTAACTTGGGGATACAAAAAATGCAGGTTCATTAATATATAACTCTTTTAAACAAGAGAAATTAATCTAACTTTTTTGTTAACCGTAACTGAAAAAAATTAACCGATAGTCGATCGTAAAAGAGCCCAAATTTTAGCCGGTTGGTGACCGTAAAAGCCACCACCCCATTGAGACCCTCCTGATCGAGTTCAGTGGTAAGCGTGGCATCATGTAAAATGGCCAAAACCAATTTTCGTCCAGACCGTGATGGCAGGCTGCATTCCTGGGACTCACCCCTCCCCTATTTTCCGGAGACTCCCCCCTTTTCCAGAGTCTATCTCTGCTACGGTCAAGTCACGTAACTCCGAAACAAAAGTACTAGGTCCCTCTTTTTGGGCATAGCCAGGACGCGCACTCTCGCGAGCGATTTTTGTCCTCCCACAAAAGAAATGTCTGAGGAGAATTAGAAAGCTACACAGTGGTGAGCGCCGGTGTCGAAAATGACCAATGAAACTGAACCAAGACAACGTGAATGTCAAAAGCTGATTATTTGTACGCTGTCTTTCTCTCCGATCCTTATTTGTCATTTGCATTGCCGCTTGGAGACCCATTTTAGTTCCGTATTCATACGAATATGTGAAGATGGTTGCTTCACATGTAAGCAACGACACTAAGAGACGATTGAACAATGAACAACTGTCTTTAAAGGCGGGATGGAAATTTTATGAAGTGGAAAGAAAATTTGGTCAAAAGTGGTGTCACGAGAATGAAGACAGGTCAAGAAAAATGTTTCGTGGCTAACTGTTATGGTCAATGATGACTTTGTCGTTTCCGCTTTGGTACCCTGCGAGCAGTGGTTTCTCCAGGCCGGACGCTACGCTTCGATGGGAAAGAAACCACTGCGAGCAACCGTTTGCTTTTCCATCGAGCATGCGCGCCCACGTGACGACTACGAATAGGGAGCTTAAGCAACAACGACGGCGACGGCTACGAAAACGTCACTTAAAAAGTGAATTCGCACCGCTTCAAACTTTATCGCGCTTATTCCATCTCGTTTACTTCGTCAAATGTTGGCAAATGTTTTTGGAGTTGAATTCTAAAGGAGTGTATCAAAGTTCAGGAAAAGAAAAGAAAGTTGTTGTCTTGTGTTCCCGTCCTTGACAAAACGTGAATTCAGGCATTTTCACGTTGTAGTTGGGCAACGACGGCAAAGAAATGTACAAAAAAAGCGTGATGCACGTGCAAAGTTGTTGTTTTGCTAATCAAACCTATTGCTTTTTTGCCGTTCTCGTTGCCGTCCGCGTCGTCATTGCTTAAGCTCCCTAATTATCCAACGACAAGACGGCAACGAGAACTTCAACAAAACAATAGGTTTAATAAGCAAAACAACAACTTTGCACGTGCATCACGCTTTTATTTTTGCATTTTCTTTGCCATTTTTGCACGACTACGAAGTGAAGATGCCTAATTTTTCGTTTTATGGATAACGTAAACAAGCAACGACGAAATTTATTTTTCTTTTCGCTCTTGAACTTGGATATGGTCCCTTAGAATTCAACTCCATTTGTGTTCGCCTGCATTTGACAAAGTAAGTAGATGGGAATCAATAATCCAAAGAAACACTGAATATCCACAACAGGCTCGCGTTAAGGCAGCAATTGTAAGCGTAAGCAAATGCGCGAGAGCCTAAACTTGCTTTCAAACAGGATTTACATGTTTAAAGTTAATTTATTCGTCCATAGCGCTGGACGGCGGCTCGATCAAAGAAGCAGACAGATGCTCGCAGTGGTTTCTCTCCCTTCGTAGCGTAACGTCCGGCCTGGAGAAACCACTGCTTGCAGGGTACCGCTTTGGTTCTTGGTCACTCAATTCAGACATTTTCTTGTCACAAGACTATGATTGCGCTTATATCAGGAAATGTGAGTAACGATATACACAAAACGCGTTTTATTGGGAGTGTTTATTGATTAGTTGCGTGTTTCAATTGATTCTTGGTAAGTTATTAATTGTTTTTTCGTATTTTACAATAATACGTCAAGATTCTCCTTTGGGGTTATTACTGAGCTGAACTAATTTGTATGCAAATGTGGGCTTGTGAACTCGCATAATCAACTGACTAACGGCGCTTGAGACGCTGAGACTTCAATAGTTAGTCGTTTCCTTGAGGTAGAAAGGAGAAGACGGTTTTGTAATAGTCAGACAAAATTGAGATAGAGAGTTTTCAGCTCCGATTTTTAGCGCTAAATAGAAGACATTAGCCGTTTCTAATGGGCTTGCTAAACTTTCAAATGGACCTTGTTGTATATGTTGTGACGCCATTACTAGTACTTACCTGAATACGGTTAATAGCATAAATTAAACAAGTTTCCCGCGTATTTTATTCATGAGCCATTTATTAAAATTTACGCCATTTATTAAAATTTACTCCCCACTTCTATTCCCCCAAAAAACTGCTAAATCTGCTCAGACACCACTACTGCGGCGTGTAGAACTGAAATATGACTTTAAAGTGGTTACATCCTCGCAATTTGTCAGCTCAAAATACTGGCACTCGATTATTTTTGTTATGACTTTCGCAGTCGAAATTGGTAGTTGGAGCTTCCTTTAATCACTAGTTAGTTGAATCAGTAGCTCACAGCTTCTCTTTTTTTGTGTCGTTTTTGTTTTCCTGAAAGTATTCTTCTCATTTAAAAGTGTTTGTGATAAATTTGTTTGAAGTTTACTAACTCTAGAAAAAGCTAAGTTGAAACGTTTTACACCTTTCGATGAGACTTTGATCCAAGGAACCAGGTGCACCCAACGACTGTTTTCTGTAAATTATCATTCTGTTCCGAGAAGCAAAAATTGCCTAAGGTTTTCTACAGCTAGCTACAGCTGGAGGAAGGCTTAAAATTTCTATATGACCGTTCCATTCTGTACAATTTGCCAAGCTTATCTAACAAATTCTCTACGATTAATCTTTTGTATTTCACTCCCCAGGTTAAGTTATTTTCGTAGAAAAAGGAAACCTAAAATTCTCGGATTAGAAAATGTGACGAAGAGAGGAATCAGAAATTGCGTCTAAAATTTTGGAAAAAATATTACTGAAGCCCTTGTAATTTTCGAAAAGACTCAAGTTGCCCTAGGATGACCGAACAGATCAAAATTTTGCAGCGCCGCTTAGAATGCATTTCTAGAGATCTAAAAATACTTTGGATGGCCTAAAAAGCGTTTTTAATGCATTAAGGAAGAAACTATCATTGGGCACCCCTGAAGAATTATCGTATAAATTAAGACAAGCCACAGCTGTCTTAGACTTTGGAAAATACATGAACTTGAATAAAGTTTGAGTAATTAGGTAAGTTTGAATGAGAATCTCTTCTCCTTTTTATTCGTTGGCCTTAATCATGCTCAAAGACCCAGAAAAATAGAGAGCTTAGTATAACAAGCTACACACGGCACTGATCGCGTTCAGTGGTGAGCGCTGGTGTCGAAAATGGCCAATGAAACTGAACCAAGACAA